TCGATAGAAAAAAACTCCTACTTCGAAGGCTTAGAGGGATTAACGAGGGTCTATCTCCATTATATCTCCAGTGTTTGGGGATTGAAACAAGGCCTGTACATCATCAACAAGGTTTTTACTCGAAAGCATACCATTTGGAATTCCAGGTAAATTTTCGTCAACCTCCCTCCAGAGTCATTGCTTTATTAACAAAAGTTAGGTATCAAAAGCATAGTAAAACAAATAAGAGTGATAACGAATGGATTAGTTCAAGACAAATATATTTAATGCATTATGATTTTAGTATTAAAAAAGATGAGCAAGTTTGCATAAAAGAAAGTGATGAACAAACAATTAAGATTGCAAATGAAAATGCAAATGAAATTTCAAATTTCCATGTTGAGGAGACAAGACTCTATGGACTGATTGCTTCAAACGATCTTCAGCAACCTTGAGGCTTACTTGGATAAGAGATTCCATGCTGACCTGGACACAACAGTCTCTGAACTGCTCCAAGCTTGGACTTTATCTCTGGATGACAGACTATTTTCAATTGACTAGCCGAGTGCCCCAGAATATACTCACCAAAGATTTTCTTAAAAGAGGGGGTGAACATTGTACAAAGAGAAAAGTTCAAAATTGTCCTTCACCTTAGAAGTTGTACTTTGAGAGAGACGTCAGGCAGGAGCTGGACTTTGGTTAAACCTCTTGGAATCTTCAACATCACGGCCAAATGACCCAGAATGAGAGACACAACTAGCATTTGCATCAGAAGAGAGATTAATCGACTGAATAGTCTCTAAAGCACGAAGCTTAATTAACTGAATTCCCAATAGACGAGGAAGTTCCAAGATGTAAGGAATTGAGATGGTATCAAAATACTTCCAGTCTTCTTCTATCTTTTATTAAAAGCTTTGCCCCACTGAATCACTTGGGAAACAAGCATCGACTATTGACGAGAAGATTAGAGAGCTCAAAGCTGTGGAGAATGCCCTTGATTGAATAATCGGGTACCTCGGCGTGGTAACCACACATGGCGTTGACAACAGGATTTGGGAGGGGAACTTGTAGACAATACTAAAGTACAGAGCCTAATTCGCTGAAGCTCAAACAAGTGTGGAAACAAATGAGAATAAAGCACAAAGATGAGATCAAAACCATTCTCCAGGCTTCTTATGTTCTTGCTGATAAAACCAACCTCTTGAATTCAACTGGAAAACGGGAACCACCTGCTGATAAGACGTTTCACGCACTTAAGATAGTGGATGAAATTCGCAAGGTACTTCCATGGTTTGAAAGAAATTCTAAAAGACGAGGAGAAGAGAATAACTCATGTTGCAACAGTCGGTGCAGAATTGCTGACACTATCATCAATACTTCCACGATCCAAATCCATTGAGTCTTCAACTGATTATCTTCCTTCTGGAAGAGTTCTCAATCACGGGCCAAGGCTTACATGTATACCACAAACAACCACAAACAACCACATCTGGATCTTAATCCCAGCCAATACCCCATGAAGTCATTCCATAACTGATATCTGAAAATGTGACATCAAGAATTCAAGTCTATAACTCTGAAGAGAGCACCAAATCTGAATAAGAATTCCCAACTTTCAGTACCTGTTATGAATGCATGAATATGCATGATCTGCATGAGTGGATGCGATGCCATGTTCAATCATTTTTAAGGAACTCACATGCTTTTAAATTTTATTTTTCAAGAAGAGGTGGAAAAGCGCAACACAAAGCTCACAAGCATGTTTCCTTGGAAATGGAAAGAACATGTGTGTTAAAATGGTGTTAACATATTATGTATGCAAAGACATAGTATCAAGGTTCGATAAACATGGAAAATGGTTGAACTGTCTCTAAACTGAATGATGAATATCAGTGGATCAAAGGTTTGGCACCATCTCGAAACACAAAAGAATTAGGTACCAAGTGGATCAGCAACTGCATGAGACCAAAATCTCCCTGCCATAAAAGATAATTGTAGAACTGCCGAAATAAACGGCCATCACAAGGTGAGAAGTTCGGAGCAAAACCGAGAGAACACACAGTCATCGTTAGTATCAAGTCACCATCAAAAACACACATTAACTATCAGAACATGGACATCAACAGAACTCAAGTCAGTAACATAACCAAAGTCACCATCATAACTAGAGTCACCATCTGTACCTATAAGAATCAATCATCCCTCCCCACTCACGGGCGAAACTAGGTCAGGGTAAGGCAGGGGTAATTCAAAATCACGGGTACGCCTGAAGCCACTATCGTCGAAACACTTAAGTGAAACGAAAACACCCTATTTGTAATCTCATCTGAGCATGGACGACATGAGCGCACTAGCAAACGAAAGTCGACTAGCCGTTCATGTTCCACTATATTCCTAGGGTTCCTATGGTTGTCACTTTGGCCTGGGTATTGGGCCTTTTACCTCTTGTAACACCCACCCACATAGAGACAAAGAACAACAATACCACCAGAATATGGAAAGCGATAAAATGCATGCACAAACATATGCAAACAGTGTATATAAAGCTGTAAATAAATGGAAGTAAATAAACACCCAAGGCAATAAACAAACAAGATCTAGGATCGAATCCGGGATGGACCAACAATAGGTCTATCTTTCCCCAATGAAGTCGCCAGCTGAAACAACCGGCCGAACCGTCATCTGATATAAAAATCAATGAAGTCACCATCGAACGTCTTTTATCCCGCCGAAAGGGAAAGGTAAACATCGATAAAACCTGAAGAGGTGAAATTACGGTCTTGCGACCGAGAGATCAGGTAGGGAGTCTGTTATGCGAGGGGAAGGTATTAGCACCCCACACGTTTGTATTACTCTACGGTATCCACTCTTGTTCGTTCTAATCTAAGGGTGTGTAAAATCTATATCTAACGCTTAAAGCTGAAAAGGGAATGCATGCAAAGAAAAAGGAAAAGAAAGTGTGGGGAAAAGAAAGGAATATTTACAAAGATATGCTCGATTAGTCCCCACAAAAGCCTCTGCCTACGTATCCCTTTTAAGGAATCACAACAGCCGTAGTTCAGCTCATATATTTTGGTTGGTTTGTGTTTTTTAGTTAAGAAGACAAAAACAACAATCAAGATGGAAAAACATCAGATAAAACGACAAAACATCAACAACGATGATAAAGCAACAAAAAAAGGATGACAAGGCATCACATGGAAACACGAACTCAGATAAGATGATAACACGTCGGCATGATAACAAAATATCAGACAAGACGATGAAACATTACACCTAACAATGATATCAAAAATCAAAGTAGGATGACAAACATATGCAATGGCGAAACATCGACAACAAACATATGTGATAGCGAAACATCGGCAAAAAGATAGCAAGGTAACATGGCGAAGATGGAGAGGCATCAACAATTTAGATGATAAAACATCACACCTAACAATGATATTGAAAATCAAAGTAGGATAACAAATATGTGTGATGGAGAAACATCGGCGAAAAGATATATGCGATGGCGAAACATCAGCTAAAAGATAGCAAATATCATGGCAAGGATGGCGAAACATCAACAATTAAGATGATAAAACATCACAGCTAACAATGATATTGAGAATCAAAGTAGGATAACAAACATGCGCGATGGAAAAACATCGACAACAATCATATGCGATGGAGAAACATAGGCTAAAAGATAACAAAATGTCATGGCAAAAGATGGCGAAACATCAATAATTCGGATGATAAAACATCACACTTAAAAATGATATTGAGAATCAAAGTAGGATAACAAACATGTGCGATGGCGAAACATTGGAGAAAAGATAACAAAATATCATGGCAAGGATAGAAAAACATCAATTGATGAAGTTTAAAACAAAGCCAAAAGGCGCACAAACAATTAAGATTAGTTTGTGTTAATTACCTTGAAGAAGGATTTAATTTTATTAGACATTTTTATGATTTGCCAAGAAGAAGTTTTAGTTTTAAGATGCAGTATGCAAAGAAAGGAAAAATAACTAAGGGAGACTAGCCTAGTACTACCCCTAATGTTATCATACAATGATTGACTCTAAGGTTGAGGATGAAAAGGGAAGTCTCTAACCTATGTTAGCATGCATGGATATTTATCCTAATGTCTAGCTCGAGGACTAACCCTACACGAGCAATTCTAAGGGAGCATGGTAAATACCAAACAAGTGAGCAAACAAGTACTTTGGCAAAAGCACACAATCGGGGTATACTGACTCAGGGGATGGGGGTATGAAGAGAAAACGCTTTAGCTATAGGGAGAGAATCGCCCGAAGCAAACAAGCGGGAGACAGATGAAATAATAAAAATGTGACGACCAAAGCGACTGAACATCTAACCAAAATATAGAGGATCGAGGTAGACGATAGAAGACAATATGAACAATCACGGAGTGTTAGCATCGGCCAATGCAAACTCCTGACAATGCGTGGGGGTTTGATTGCAAAACCCTTCCTCACTTGACAGACTCGATACATATGATATGCACGACTCTGAAGCATCGACGTACCACGTGAGTTAAGGATGACATGGACTAGAATGTGTAGGGGTCGATTACGGGCTCTTCCCCGCTCGCCTCTTTTGAGGACTTATCACCTGTAATATAATGCGGGCACAAATATAAACATACGTGCATAATACCTACTTCCAAGGTTGGATTTTAAACAAACACAATTAGCTTACAGAAAATGGTGCCTGCTACAGGACTTTAAACAGCGACTTTGAGCGCACACTCTTTTTATTTCATGCTTCCTTCTTCTCATGATTTCTAGAAAGCGGTAAAATGTTGTATTTACAATATTTACAACAACAAGGATCTGAATGTATACCATACGAATAAAACAAATCCGTATACAGAAAACTCTATAACAAATATCTGAAATCTTCTACAAAATCTCCAAAAGCTAGCGTCCACAAGCAAGCAACGTTAGAAAAAGTGATAGGCAAATGCAAGCAAGCATCCGTCACCGAAGCGACCAATCCAAACTTGTTTCTTAATATATGCACAACTCACCAAAATGGCTAGAAAATAACAACACACTTAAAATACAAATGGTAAGTAAGTAATCAATGACTAAAACAACAATATTATGTATAATACAAAATAGGCAAGTCACTTGAACATAGTATGGCATTTCCGGACAGCATAGCATTAGTACCGAAAAGTGCACCAAAATTGGTATAAAAGTAAGAAAAGTGATACTGGCATAAGTATGAACTGTGAATGGTCAAGTAGTGAAAATGAATCATGTTTAGGTACTAATGACCATACTCCGGACAACCATGCCATATTCAAGTAATTGCACTAAAAAACGGTAAAAACGCACATGTATAAGTTAACGGTATTAAAAAAATGCAGTGTTTACATAAAGCGGAAATGGAGACATTCAATGTAAAAACTAAAGAGTTAGACTATTTCTACAAGTTAGTATATTTACGCACTAAAGGGAACGGCGTCATGGATCAAAGTTAGTGCAAAACATTATTTTAAAAAAAACGCATAATACGTGCATAAACCGAAAAGTGCTTCCGAAACAAGTGATAACCTCTTGAAAACCATCCGGCATGTTTTATAAAAATTATGTGCAGCTATACATGTGCCAACAGTTACAAAAATGTGTTCGATTCGGTCAAATTTCACCCGAAAACTCGAATTTCCAACAATTCTGGTTCGGGAAAATCGGGTGACAAATGTTCGAATCGAAAAACTAAACGCATAGGCTGCTCCGGATGGCTCGAGAGACATGGTCTTCATTAAAGAAAGTCGGAAAAACTCAAAGAGGTTCACAAGTTATGGCAAAAATCGGTTTATGTCAAAAAATGTCATATTTTTCAAATGTTGAGATGTTTTCCATTAAACTCGATCAAACTTGTTTCAACTGAGTTTTACAATGGTATTAGAATTTGTTGGAACTCATATCAACACTTAGTAATGACAATCAACAAGTATCCACAAATATTGGGAAAAAAAGTGAGTTTTATGTCAAAAGTGAGAAAACATTGGTAATTTGAAAATGCTACTTACAGGATACATCATAATGCAAGGAAGCCTCTTGAGATTATCAACCAAAAAAAACACAGCAACAAAGTCCAATTACTTTGACATCAATACTTTGAAGAAAACTCACAATATAAAGTTCCAAATTCATGAGTTACTTATCCAATACCTAGCTTCTTTAGCATTCGGCTGTCAAAACTTATACGATGTCATGAATTAGTACCTAAAACTAACCGAAGTGTTAGTATGCTCAAATTCCTTTAAATGTGAGAAACTCAAGTTTCAATATCAATCATTCATACATTTCGACTCAATGATGTGCAAATTGGCAATTGAAATAAGTAAGAAGCATAAAAATGCTATTCGGGACAACATTACAATCGTTTTGAAAACGTGCAACAATTGAGTCAAAACGCAAAGTTATTCATATCAGAAACAAAAAGATATGGCACCGAGCACAAGTAATCAATCAATGAGAAGAGAATCAAGTTTTAATGAAAAAATGAGTATTCCGGGAAGCCACGCTATACTTACGTAAGTATGCCTAAAAATCGATTAAAACACAACCAAAAATATCAGTATTAACAAGAGGCAAAATTATGTACAAAGAAATACTGTTCATGAATCAAAATTCTATGTACATATAATTCAAGATTCCAGACAGCATTGTTACCATTTTGTAAGGTCCAAAATATCTTGAAAAAGTGCAACGGAAAAGATCTCGGTATCTTTTAAAAACAACAAAACATTGCAGTAACTCTAATCCGGAATTAAATTACATGCCAAGGCATAATCACAAATTATGGACAAACCTATATACATGCTAGCATTCACCACAAATCAGAATTTGGAAATCCACATTTAACGTCTAGTCTTGAATGCTAGCATGCAAGTACTTATCAAAAACTTGAAAGCAAAGCGACATACATAAATGACAAAGACAACAAAACAGTGAGAGAGATACATGATCTTAAAGCATTACGACACATCTACAAATTGCAAAACTATCTCCACTGCAAGCTTATGTCAAAGTAGAGGAAAATTGGAGTTATACCATAACTTGTAGAAAGTAAAAACTTATGCATCAAGATACATTCTAATGCTTCAATTTCCACCAAAAAACAACAAATAATGAAATTAAATAATGCTAGTTAGTATCAAAGTATTAAAGAGATTAGTAGTATTGATTTCAATTCATGAAGTTATGTTACCGGCACTTTTCAAACAAGCGGTAAGAAATTCAGAATTAAGCATAATCTCATAACCTCATGAACAACTAACAAACGCCTTGTTTCTTATCATTTTGATATCAAAATTGATAACAAAATCAAGAATTAGTACCTAAAACTAAACTAAGTGTTAGTATGCACTAAATTCCTAAATCAATCGTAGAATTAACCTAAGCTAACACAAATCTGAAAATTATACCTAATTATATTCCATTCTAAAAACTTGAAAATTCAAGAGGCAAAACAAACTCTCTAACTCAATTCATGAATTCCTAACTATTGCAAATTTGAAAAATTCAACCTATATCCTAGTTACAACAACAACTCCAAATTCAAGATTCAACAGAAAACCATTGGAAATTATAACAATACCTCCTGAAGACGCTTGAAGTATATGAAGAGGAAGAGTCGAGGCTGACCGGAGCTGAGTGTACCGGCTGAGAGGAAGCAAGACACGAAGGAAGGAGGTTGCGGACGCATGGAAGTTGCAGACAGAGAGAGGTTACTGACGGAGGGAGCTGCGGACCGAGAGAGATTGCAGACGAAGGGAGCTGTGGCCGGAGAGAGATTGTAGACGGAGGGAGCTGCAGAGTTGAGAGGAAGAACAGTCCGACGGTGGTGAGAAAACGGAAGTCCGGCGACGAGGGAGGAGGGAGGTCGGAGTTGGCTGAGATGAGAAATCTGATGGTGGTGAGAAGACCGTTCGGGAGGGAGAATTTCTTTCCTTTTTTGTTATGATTTCAACTTATTCACCGCTTAAGTGAAAATTACACTGTGATCCGTAAAACTGTCTGAACGCAGACCTCCTGTGAAAATATGCACCCCTGAGTTATAGAAGCAACCCAAAAAGAATGGACATTTTCTGACAAAAATCGAATGAGTTCGATACGTTTAAGCGGCGAGACGTCACTGTCAAAAATTAATTACGTCAAAATATCAGCTTATTTGATCTCTTCTACTTGGAAACGTCACAAGGTCGTGTCCCAGAAATCCGAACCTCGATTCGGATTTTCTAGGAAAAATATGCATCTCTGAGTTCCTGACGTCATGTCAAAAAATGAGAGCGGTCTGATAAACGGTTTATTTTTTTATGAATTTTACAGTACAATGTTGTTAAGTCTGTTTCACTGGTACGAACAGCTCCGTTTTGCAAAATAAACCAACAACGGAGGTCTTTGAGCTACCTTTCGGCTTGGAAACATGAAACAGAATTGTAAGAGACCAAATTAGCAAGCCAACGCTTCAAGAACGGGCCCAATTCGGTAAAAATTGACCGAGTTATGAATTTTTGAATATTGGAAACCGAACAGACAGATACCAAATAATTCCTCAGTAATTCAAAGTTTACGCAGCCTTCCTCGAATAGTCAGCTCTCGCCCATGGACGTACATCAAGAGGATATCAAGATGAAATTTTGGGCATCGAAACCACGCTCATACAATACTCGAACCAGGAGATATGAATTTTTTTAATGCGCATAAAAACATGATTCAGTCAACTGTTTATTAGTATTTTCCACTGTTCAGCTTTGTCTGACTTGCGAATTCGGGGACCTTCCTTCGAGAATTGGATTTAAGCCTAAACATGGAAATTGGAGAGGATATCGAGGAGGTTTTAACGATGGAAAAAAAACCTTGAGACGGTATACGAGATCGGAGTTAGAAACTTCTAAAGGCCTGAAACACCGTTGATCGGTAACCTGAAAACTCAGTAATAAAATTATTTGACAACCTTCTGCACCTAATTGGCTCCCGGCCCGAACGCTAAAAGTGAAGATAATATCAACACGAACTTGGTGATAAAATTTCAGCCTAAAACAATGATCTGGCTCGCAGTTCGCAAATTATGAAGTTGACACACCGAAGCAGATTTTTTTACCCGAATTGTTCCGAATCAGATCAAACCCTCTAGTTCCCTTATTTTGCCCAAGACATGAGAAAATACATGGAAATAGAACATGGTGATAAGTCGTTCCTCAGCTGATTGAATTGCCTGCACAAAGCCTTTGACGTTTCTAATAAACAGTTGATGTTTTACTGGCATACCTTGATCCTATAGCAACAGAACCAATGTATGCATGCGTATGCAGATGAAATGTAAGCCAAATAAAAATTCAGAAATCAAGAGGGTAAATTTTGGGGTGCAACAACCTCCTGTCAAGAACAGTCCATCCTCCAATTCTAGAGACCAATCAAACAACAACATGAACTCTCCAAGTTCAAACAGCTTTTCTGTAATACCTTCCTTACCCATGACCAGAAAGTATCATCCCAGGATCTCACCCAGAACATAACAGGATGCCTGCTCTCATACCAGTTGAAATTCAGGTACGACAGAACCAAGATGTCCTAAGAGGATGTCGAGACATCTAGTATGAAATAAACAACACATGCAAGGTATAAACATTAAAACCAGTACTAAAAAGCATAAAACAACACAAAAAATTGTTTACCCAGTTCGGTTAACTACCTACTCTGGGGTATACCAAGCCAGTGAAAAATCAACTAATAGTACTATCAATTCATATACCTTATAGAAAACATCCCAGTTTACACTATAATCACTTAATCATCACCCTCGCTAGATATCTATCTAAGACTCACCTAGATATGAGGCCCTCCTCAATCCCTCTTCAATCACAGACTGTAATTGGATCAACACAATTATGAACAAACAGGAAGAAACACTTTCATGACAATCACTAGCCAAGAATCTTGACTAATATCACAACTTGGAGTTGCTTTAAAACTTCCTCCAAGAACAATACTCGACTCTTGCTTCACAACTTCGAGAAGAGCATGGTGACCATCCCACAACCAGGGTGGTTCACCTTAACAAAGCCCTAGACTTCTACATCTTGAACTCGTGCCAAACTAGGTTACAAACCCTCCTATTTATAACCTATTCCCAACTGGACTTGGGCTTTCTAATAATATAAAACCACCTGTTATGAATCGGCATAAACTTCTACTATAAACAAGGTCTTCAATCATTAATTTCCTAAATAATCTGCATATTTAGAAATTGTATAATCTTCAAATATTCCGACTTGATTCTCTTAACCTTGATTTCATCTCCACATAGGATTATATAATATTCCTTGAATATTCAGTACTTGTTAAATCATAACAGATTTAATAGAATCACTTCAACTCAGGCGCAATGTCGTATGCTGCTTCATAGGACATATTATTTGACATATTGTTCCAGATGTCGAAACTTATTCAACTCAACATGTCCCAACATTGGATAAGACTTCTTGCTCAACTTGTTCCTGTTGTCATGTTCTATACATCCTACCTAACATATTGTTGTCTTATTTGTTTTACAAAAATTAATTCCAATCCTAAAAATAGAGAATTGACAATCTTGTATTTTAATGTGGATTCTAGGGGCAAGTGCACTCCTAATTATGAAGGCCCGTATGTTGTCAAGAAAGCCTTATTTGGAAGTGCATTGATTCTTGAAACAATGGATGATGAGGAGTACCCAATTTCCGTGAATGCTGATGCAGTCAAGAAATACTTCGCCTAAAGAAATAAAAAAACAGCTCGCTAAGTTGAAAACCCGAAAGGGTGACTTAGGCAAGAGTGAGTGTCTCGATGGGATGAAAACTCGAAAGTGCTGTCTAGGAAAAAATTAGATACATAAACAGAATAAATCATCCTGGTAGATTGAAAACCCGCATGGGCAATCTAGATAAAAGTTAGGGAATAATGGCAAGTAACTACATCAGACAAGACTTGATCATTGAAGCAACAATCTTCCTCGGATTCTCATCACTTTTCAACTAAATTCCAAACATATAAGTTCAAAGTTGTTAGGGATAATAGTGGTCATTGTATTTCAATGTATCTTTTTCATGTACTTACTATTTTCCAAACTTTGTAATCATCTATGGAGTCACGCCATTTTCGGACTACCAGTCTATTAATAAAGTTCGAGCCTTTACCTATTTCCTTTGCAATTCTTAGTTTTATTCTGCTTACATATATTTCATTTATTATTGATAGTAAATTTTGAAACAAAAAGGATTTAAATAATAAAACATGTTTTCAAAAAATTATGAAAACGCTTTACTTTAACTTGTGAATCAAAAGAGTAAAAATAGTAGTTCCGAGGATGGAAAAATTTTAAAGCATGAAGTGTAGTTTTCTCCTGTTTATTTGAGGAAACTTCTCTATTTATACTTCAGTTTATTGTTGGCACATCGTTGCATGTTGGTACGGTGTTTATTTCCTCCAAAGCTTATTGGTTTAGAGTTTGTCAACAATTCTTCATTCTTCAAGAAAGATAGAACCTGTTTGTCATTTCTTCCCAGCAGAGGAAGTATCCCGTTCCCCAGTGAGGTCCATATTTTATTTCCCACTGAAGCTTAGAGGATGTTTGGTGTTATCCCTACATCTTTGTGGATTGTTGTTATAATATTGTGCTTTGTTTATTCTCAAGCAACATCTCCTTTCTCTGAGAAGTTAAGCCTTGAAGTAGGACGTTGTTTACTCTGTTGTTTTCTTACTCTATAGTGGGATTTCCATCTTGGATGTAATTTAGTAGAGTGCCGTCTATACCCAAGTTTGTTTTATCTGTTTATCCCTAGTATAACGTGTTTTGTCTGTTTTGTCTGTCAATCCACCTTTTGTGTTTACCATTGTTAAACTATTAGATCTTTAATATATGGTACTCACTTTTATTCCTTTGTTTGTATACCATTGTTAAACTATCATATCTTTGATAGATGATATTCAATCCACCTTTTGTGTTTATCGTTGCTAAGTTATCATATCTTTGATAGATGGTATTCACCTCCTAAGGCATATACTACCCATTTAGGCTTATGTCCTCAATAAAGTTTGTATTCTCATTTCCTCCTCTTTGGGTTAGTCCTAGTTAAGTTGAGTCCCTTGTTTCAACCTTTTTGGGATGTTCCCAATAGATTCGAATTTCCTCCTCTTTGGTTTTAATCCTGAATAAGAGTCGAGCTTTTCCCCAGTGGAATCATCTCCTAGTTTTTTATTGTTAGGTCTGTGATTTTATGGTTGACAATAACTTTGGTAAAACTAGGTGTTGACAACAATTCTATCAAAACATGTTTCATTGGGAAAAACATGTATTGCATCGTAATGTTAAACAAGATGTCATAACATCTTAACCAGCTAGTGAAGCAGTGTATGCAGGTACTTATTTGACATATGTTCTATCAAATGTTGTAACATGTTGTAACAGAACATCATGACAGTACAACTGGATATTTATCCTTAAAGGTTTGATTAAAAAACATGAGATTCTAGAGGTTTCTAGTACTCATAACAGGCACATGCAATCAAGGATTGTTAGGAATAATTGCATATTTGATTTATTTCATAAAAAGGATCTTTGATACTTTTTAGGAAATATTTGAAAGATTTGTTTTTTTTTCCTTCTATTTTCGTGAAGAATATTCAGCAGGGATTTTGAGCTAAAGGTTATATCTAATTGAAGAGTCCAAGCCCAACTGCAGAAGTCTATATAAGGAGTCGTCCAAGACCTAGTTTTTAAGCATAGTTTTTATTGTAAAACCTTGTGAAAAATAAGGGTTTAGGTTTTGATATTTCCTTGGGTTATCCATGTGTTTATTTGTATGTCCTCGTGTATCTTTGATGCATTTGAGTGGACTAATTGTTACTTGATAGTATATTAAGTTATTCTTCTCCTCAAAGCTGGTAGGTAAGAGTTGACTATTGTTCTTAGTGAAGCTTTAAATAAAACTAAGTATTTTGTAATTTGGAAGTATGTTCTTCCTTTTTGGTTTCTTGAGACATTCACTGGGACTAATATTGTTTGATATCACTGCGGTGATTGGGAGTGAGAGGGGTTCTCATATCTAGGAGGGGCCTAGGTAGAAGTTTCACTGGGTAGGGATTAAGTGAGAAGTGTAAACTGGGACTGTTTAGCTTTGAATTGATACTACTGGTAGTTGATTTCCTACCTAGCTTGGTAGCTCCCATAGTAGGTGAGTTTTCATTGAACTTGGTTAACAATTCCTTGTGTTC